AAATTGCTTAAATGTTCTAAGACACACTTCACTTGATTCCTAAATTAACCTATTTTCTACTTTTGCACAATAAACTGAACCAACAAACTAGGGTGGGTTTGCCCAACAGGCTAAGCCCCAAACAACCCAACCATGGTTAAAATTAACCAAGCTTAGCCCATTGGGAAAATGCACTTCTTGGTCTTTAACCTGCTTGATTGAGCAAGGGGGTCCATGGAGGGGGGAGGTGACAAAAGTCAAGGGATGGGACTTGAATCATACTATTGTGGCCAGTATCTTCACCTTCTTTGACTCCTCCCTGTGGCCAAGTGTGTGATGCAAACCCATCCATTGAGAGAAGGAGAAAGAAGAGAACTTTGACTGAGATCAGCTCTTGGCAACTTGTCTTGGAAGCCTTGTGGCCCTTTGAGAACTCTGTGAGGATGAGTGAACCTATTCTTTGCTTTCAGTAGGTCATAAGCTTAGTCCCTGGCCTCTCAAAGTTGGGTTGAAAAAGTCCCTGGTCTGAAATCTTGAGGAGCTTCTGCTGGTTAGTGTGGACAATACTGAGGGAGATGGTGCGATGCCCAGAGGGGGTTCTAAGGCCATTTCCTGTGTCCACAAAGAAACTGTAGGTCAGTAGCAACAGTCAGATTGCAAAGCAGCAGGTTCTAGCCCCAGACAATCTGTGTTTGAAATCCTGAAGGACTTTGCCAGTGAGTTAGACTAAGGTTATGACTTGATCTATGGCATCTATTTCCCTTTGTTTTCTGTTTATTGGCGCATCTAGGGAGAAGTATGAGCAAGAAGTCAGACTGCTAGGAGCTTCATCAATCAGGGAGAAGAAAACTGGGATATAATTGTGTTGGAATTCTTGGCAGGTAGCTGTTCTGAGTCATGTCCAGAAGTTGAAGATGGACAGAGGAAGCTTTCAGGGAAGGCATGAAAGAATGAATTCGGGATCCTTTTTTGCAAGGATGTTTTCCATTCATTACGCAAATTGGGATTTCTTTCCAGAAACTGTAGCTTTCATTTAAAAGGGTCCAGTGACTGAACTAATTACTGTATACTGAATGAACTATGCAGGCAATATCTAAGCAGGCTATATTCAAGAGGTAGCAACCTAATGTCCAGATTCATTTTTTCCCCCCTTTGGCCAGTCAGCACAAAAGTGATGGGTTGATGGGCAAGCACATGACAGATTAGCATTGGCTTTTTATTATTTTAATGTTTAAGACTAGGTTGCAGGATAAGGCCTGTTGCTTTCTGCCTCCATCCCACAGGCATGGGCTGAGCATGATCTCCAGGGAAGTTGTTTGGATAGTTGGACCAATATCTCAAGGGCTTCTTGGTTCACCAAAATGTGCATGAACTTTGCTTATTTCAGTCCATTGGCAATCTAGAAGGATTGTTGCCTTACTTGAGGAAGATGAGACACACTTTGGACCTCCTTTGAGGGTCACAGCTTGGGTTTAGGGGTAAAACAATGCCAACTTCTCCCAAAATCTTCTACCTACTTTCAAAATGTTTGCTTTGCAGAAGACACTTATGCTTCAGAAGAGGTAGTAGACCAACAGCCTGTCTTGCTCAAGGTGATGGATACAGCGGATCAGGTAATGGCAGGTAGAGCAAACCACCACTGAACAAGCTACAATAAAATCTCTGCATTTCTAAATACTGACTTCATACCACAGGGGGAAGGAGCAGGTAACATTTGCCAGCTGTGAATCAGAAAAGCCCCATCAACAAGAGTGACAGAAGGCCACTTTTTATCAGCAGAGCATAGTTTCTAGGCAAATACAATGGATTCTCCTGTTGTTTGATTTAGGTTAGATCCTAACTGCTTTGGGAAAATAAGGTCTAAGGTGGCCTTGTCCATCCTGTTGCCTCCAGAGGTTTTGGGCTACAATTCCCATCATCCTTAGTCAGTATGCACATTTGTACAACACCAGATAGAGACTCATTAAAATTAATGGGACCATTAATAAATAATAATTCTACATCTTCAGGGTAAAAGATGAGTTACAGCTCCTCCCCACTTCAAAGAGACATTCTTGAAATGCAAATACCTCAATCAAACATGAAGTCCCAGGTGTTGGAATATATTTGGATCAGATACTGATGCCTTTTTCCTTTGGGTTCCCCTTCTCCTAAAAGTCGAATGTGGAGCAATCAGAAAAGTCAGCAGGAAAGAATAGCCTGGTTCATACATGTGCTAAGCCATGGATGGTTGCATAAGCCACAATGGTCAAGTGCATGCCACAGGCTAAGCCAAAGTCAGTTAAATACTTTGCAGCTTAGCAGCACAATATGAGAACTGTTCCTCTTGAGTTTCTTGGTGATGAGCAATCTTGGGCCCTCAAGATTTTGTGGAGCACAACACTTACAAATCCCAGCCAACCAGCCAAGAATGGATAGAGGTATAATCTAAGATACAGGATTTAGCCAGACTTTGCAGCAACACCGTTTGAAAATGGACATTGGACAAATCTTTTCCTCCAAAGACAAAACTAAGCAAAGGTCTCCATCGATATTTGTGTGACACCCCCTTAGCCATGGATCACTTAGCCATTCTGCTGGGGCTACAAAATATGGTAAACCATAAACTAACCCCAGGTCCTGGGTTCACATAAAATATGGCTAGTTTTGATTCAGTGATCTGTACCTGCCTTGCCTCTTTTGCAAATCTCCTGAGTGATTTGCAGACTTGATATATATAATTTTTAAAAATGTGCAGCTTTGTAGAAGGGGGCCAGGATCCATGACGTCCTGCCCCAAATGCACTGAGATGCCAAAGTTGCAATAGCTATGAAAAAAGATTTAACACTCCATCTCTGAGTGGTGGAGTCTTTCTTGTTTGACTACGGCAATGCCTCAGTTATTTTACTTTATTTTTATATTATTTACTTGTATTTTTTTCTCCAGATCAGCTTACCTAGGAATAAGCACTGCATTCTTCTTTGGATATTGATAGTTTCATGCATCTTCTGCTATATTCTCAAATATTTCTCAGGGGATTTGTAAAAGAATATTATAAGAACAGAGTCCAATAAAGGGAATAGTGTTTCCTTTACAATGGAAAGCAAACTTTCTTTTAATTAAATTAAAGCAGAATTGCAGATTAAAAAGTTAAAGACCAGAGGAGGTATGTGTCTCCCCCCTCTTGTTGGAAGATCAAAATACACTGATTCGAGATAAGACCGAAAGTTATGTGGCCCAAGGCAACAATCTTTACTCCCTTCGTCAAATCTCACAATGGTTTTTTTAAGGCAGTGCAGCATCCAACTGTTTTGGGTCCAAAGGGGCTTTGAAACAATGGACAAAACCTGGAGAAGGAGGTAGTGCCTTCCATGTAAGGACAGAGTTTCATCATCATCTTCATCTTCATCTTCACCTGCGATGGGAAGAATATGGTGGCTCTTTATGATTTCGGTGTAGCCCAATTAACTTGGCTACAGAGGCACAACAGGCAAGAAAACTTTTCCTGGTGTAATGTGCAATAAACCTATGGAACATATTGGTCCCAAATGTGGGTTGAACTTGGACCACTGCAAAGGGAATGAGAAAATCCATGAAAGAAACATTGAACATCCAGCACTAGGTACTGACTACCATATTGTATTTGAAAACTAGAAGACCGTCTGTGGGAGATTGAGCAGTTCCATGTCACAAAACATGCTGGATGATACCAGCATACTGCCTTGGGCTCCTTAAAGCATAAATAAATTACATAACGAAACCTCCCATGTTCCCACATATGATGCCTTAAATGCTTGGAACAAACTTCCTTTGCAATTTTGCCAGCACATACACCTTTTCAAACCATTTCACAGAGAGTGTACTTTTGTAATAGCTTTTGCACCCAGATCTTCACTCCTACCCCTTTTCTAAATTGGCAGACTGCATTGCCAGCTTCAGAGCTGTCAAATTCAAAGAATCGGGTTTTGACATGGGGATTGGCTCAAATAACACAGCATTAGGAAGGTTTGCCTTCAAGGGCCAGTGAAACAAATTTCTCCCCCATCTCTGGGGGCAGGGGGTTGTATCAATGCTTCCTCTTCTCTAACAGTCTAAAGGTTTCAATTTGGTGTTGCGCACCTGCAAAATTCGGGGCTCCCCCAGCTGTGACAACCTTGCCCCCACCTCTCCCCCTGGTTCCATTTTGCCTCCATTCCCTGCCAAGATGGAAGTGTTGTGTTTGCTGTTAGATACCATGGGCACTGAGCCTTCTGACCGATTCCCACATGCTTTTCTGTCAGGACACACCCGTGGGCTGTGAGAGGTATCTGAATTGGGCCAATGCCTTTCTAGTCGTCTACAGCATTGACAACCGAAAGAGCTTTGAAGGATGTCAGCAGTACCTGGATCTCATTGCTCTCCACTTGAAGAACACGTTCCATGAATCTCCGATTCTCCTGGTAGGGAACAAGCTGGATATGGAACAGTACAGGTAAGGAGGTTAGGAGCTGCGGCCAAAGGAGGGGGTGGATTGATTCGTATCGGCATGGAAATGGAACAGCCCCTACTCTAACCCCTTCCTCCCTAGCTGTGCTTGGTCACCCAGATGCACCACGATGAGACAACTTCCCATTGGTCACCCTTTCCCATCTCTAGGTTTCTTCTAGGCACAAGAATCCAAGTTTACATGGATTGCTGGATCCTGAAACCATTTCCAAAATGGGAAGGGGGTTGTCTCAGAGAAGGATAGAAGAAAGGTTTCAAGGGGAAGGGAAGAGATGCAAGCAAACAAGGGAGGAAAAGAAATAACCTTATCCGCTCCAGTTCTGATTTCTCCTCTTGGATTGCTCTTCATCTTCTTGGGTGCAAAAGAGTCTTGTTTTGGTCCCCTCAGTCCCTTTCTCAGCTCACATAGGACACTGGGTTGTTGACTAAGCAAGTAGCTGTGGTCAGGGGGTCCACAGGGGGTCAATAAAGTCAAGATGGTGGCTGCAACTACCTTATCAAAGCCCTGATGCTTTTTACATGTGTTGTAAAATAGCGTTGGGGCTTTGATTGGGCAATTGTCCATCATAAACGTTTTGACTGCCCACCTCTGACAGACAACCCTGGTTGGGGCCATACAACATACTAAGCTACAAAAAAACAAAAACCAAGCTTAACTGTATTCTTAAGTGTCAGTGCAACCTGATCTGCTTAAATGTGTTGCGTGAACACACAACCATTGGCACACATCCTTTCTCCACCCTTGGATGGCTCTCCCATTTCCAACCTCTTAGAGTCATCTCTGCACCTACGAACCATCTCTGCCCATGGCCATCCCCAGCCTGGCTCCTTCCAGACTCTATGGGGACTCCAACTCCCATAATTCTCAGCCAGCAGAGAGGAGGGGGAGAGCAACTCCATTGGAATAGGTTATTTCTTGAGACCAAACCCTACTTTGTTGTGTTAGACGAGCTGCAAAAAAGTTGGTAGAAGTTGGAAGATCTTGGCTGGATGTTATTCTTCCATGTAAACTTAATCTTTTTTTGGAATCTTCTGTGATTGTTTGTGCTATTAGAGCGGTCTTATTTTCTTATCCTGTTTTATTATTCTAATCTTCTTACCGCTAGATGGGAATGTAAGCCTCTCAGAGTCTTGCTGGATTGGAGTGGTGTCTGTCCCAGTAAATATACACACACACACGCTATAGGGACAATCTCTGTGTGCCTCGGGCCCATGAGACCCAAATTGCATGGCTAACAGCTGTAGAGGAATGCATACTTTTAGGTGTACTGTATTGGCTTGCTTGCTTGGGAAGAACAAATGTTACCTGCACTAACACTTGGCCTTGGGGTGAATACATTATCCTACTGGCGATGCAAGAAAAGAGTGATCCAGTGAAGCTCAGAGGTTCCTTGCCCACCCATCAGAGCTGCTATGGCCATGGAGAGAGCCATGGAGATGACCTTGGAGGCTCTCAAGAGTCTGTCACTACAGCCTCAATCACTAGAGTTCCAGTCAGACTTATGGGATTTGCTTCCTGACCTGGCCTACCTGAAAGGGCTGACATCAGTCTTGAAAGCCTCCCTGAGACTTCCCCTCCATCCCTCTTAGACTCCAGTGAATTAGAGAGGAATCAGCCTGGGCTTCTTTCTCTGTTTCCCAGCTTTAAAGCATGTTTTTGAGCTGTTGCATCTGCCTGGTGTCTCCCAGGGCATCTCTGTGGCTGTCTACAGGACATGATTGAGGCGTGTGGATTTAGGGGGACAGTCCCAAGCTTTGGAGAAAGTATTGGAGGAGAAGAAAAGGGGCTGACCTGGGTGTCCCAGGAAGCAGACCAAAAGCTTAAGCAGAGCACCAAGGGAGAAAGGAGGGAGCAGTTTGTGGAAAACAGATAAGCTGTGGAGAAACAGGACTTCTAAATGTTCCAGGTAGGACCAACCAATCCTACTCTGCAACTAGATAATAGAGGTTGCTTCAAGGCAGGATGTCCCCAGGGAATGGGGTCAAATAAGTCAAGGTGGTGGCCACAGCCATGTGACCGAAGTGCCGCCACATTTCATGTGCCTTGTGGGACACATTAAAAAGGGATGGGGTTTCAAATGCACAGTTGTGGCTGTCATCTTGACTTTTTGACCTCACCCTGCAGACACTCCTGTTTCAAGGGGCAGATCTTAGGGAGAATTGAGGAAAGCACAGCACAGGTTGGAACAGTGCAGAAAGATTTGGTTAAAGCAGTTTGGTAACCTTTTCAGGCCCTGGATATTGTGCAATCTTGTGCAATTGTCCACACGTATCCCTTCTCCCTCCCCAAAAGCAAAATTGCCCAAGTTCTCACAAGGCCACTAAATGTTGCAAGATATGGCAATCTCACAAGCATTTTGTATTTTAATTCATTTAAATTTTGGAAGGGTTGGGCGCCCTCTTGGGGAATGGATGGAAGGATGGATAAAGATTTGCTTTGCCAGCTCCTGGTGTAAAGGATTTGGTCTTCACAAGGATGCTCCACTACGAACTTCAAACTGTCCTGGCCCTTCTCTGCCAGGACTCCATGAGCTTCAGATGCACATCAACTATGTGCTAAACGGGCCCAGCCTTGCATGCTGAGACTGTTGGATAGAAGGAGTTCTGAAATGTGGGAATGCTCTTTCATTTCATGTCAGTCGTACAAACACAGACTCAAAGATTGTGCATGGGTAGGTGGACCCCAAAACACAGAATTCTTAGTTACTAAAGAAAGAACAAGCCAGGCATAACTAAAACATAATTTAATTTTCTAGTGCTTTGCAGTTACATATGGCCACTAACAGACATGGGTCAGTTCCTTGTGCTGCTCCTTTTCATATGTCTTGCGATGTTCTCTCCTGGCTTCTTCCACCAGGCAAGTCACCAAAGCTGAGGGGATGTCTCTTGCCACCAAATATGGCTCCTCCTTCTATGAAGTCTCCACATGTCTGGATTTTGAGTCTGTGCAGCACATCTTCCATGAGGCGGTGCGGGAAGTGAGGCGGGAGATGGAGAGACCTCTGGCAGTCCGGCCCTTGTTCATCATTGAGGAGAAGCCCTCAGCCCATCTGGTCCCAGCCGCCACCATCGCCTCCACCTACAACTCGCTCTCAACTGTCAACTATAAAGAGGTCCCTTCAGTTGCCCGGGCCAAGCTGGTCACGGTCAAATCATCAAGAGCTCAAAGCAAGAGGAAGGCTCCAGCACTGACTTTGCTGAAGGGGTTTAAGATATTCTAAGTGAGGATTCTGCAGGGAGGCTACAAGGCAGAAGAGGGAACACAGCCGTTGCTGGGACGGGTTGAATCCCCCAAGCAATTTGGGGGCCATTTTGAATGTCTATCCCCTGGCCTTTCCTGCAGTCCAAGTGGCCTGGTGGAAATGCAGCAAAGCATTTTGGGAAAGGATCAGAGAATCGGCCAGCGGACAAACTATGGGTGAAGGCCCCAGGTGGAGAAGGTGGTTTTAAACTTTTTTCTTCGCCATAAACATGTGGAGGGCTCTGCCACATATAGTTGGAGCCATTGAAAGAGGCCCATGGAAAGAATTTGCTCTTGAGGTCTTTCCTTGGGACTGAATGGAGATTTGGGAAGCCAGAGAGGCTACCACCAGCCAAAGAAAGGGTTCTACCATGAAGCAGAAGACATTCATAGCCACCCCATGGCCTCCACATCACTAAATGATTAAGAAAACCACACTCCATGTGATGATTTCACCAACACTCTTTTCTCAACTGAAAGAATTTCTAGATTAAATTCTCTTTCATCAGTAAAAGAGAGCTAGTTGGAAAAAACAAAACAAAACAGGAGAATTGTTCAACCGGTGGAAGAAATAACATAGCATGCCAGTGCATATGTTTTCCCCCATGTTTTGGTGAGCGCTGTGTAAAAATAAAATAAATAAAGACAAAGGGGGAAAGGGGAAATGGATAAAGAGGTCAGAAACAGAAGCACAAGCAAGGCACACCAGTGTGCCGGGGAATGTGAGTGGGAGCGCATGATGCACCGATGGGTTCTCTGATGCTTCCCCTGCATTGCCAAAATGTAGATTGTGGAGGTGCACAGCGCCCCCTAGTGTTCCTGGACAGACAATGACAGGTTTTCAGTCATTCATCCTTTTTGCAAGAATCCTAATCCACCCCAAGAAACTGGCCGCATTGAATCACGATCCAGGGCTAGGCATTGGGGTTCCCGATAGGGTGCCCATGGGCCCTAATTTGCACAAATCCTGTCTTGAACAGACCAGGCTCCGTTCCCCCTGCCAGCGTAAGACGTTCCCTCCAAACTCCAAATCTACTCACTGCCATCCAAGGGCCAAGGAGCCTTACTTTGGTGGTACATGTGAACCAGGCCTCTAGGTAATTGAAAAACCCTAGCTAAAATGAATTTTCATGTGTGAACTCCACCAGGGTCAGAAATATAAAAGGACACAGTCCAAAACCACATAAGGGAGGGAAGCAAGACAGCTGTTCAAAATTGGGAAGGGGTGGCATGGCAATAAAGGCCTCCTCTTTTGGAGGTGTGATGCAGCGCAAAGGGGGCACTATCACGGGTCTGCACGGGGCATCTTGCAGATTTTGATAGATCCCTGCCGATAATTTGTTATTTCCCCAGCACTCCAACCAACGTGATGCCATGCATCACAGAAAAGCTGAAGGATCTCCATGGCTTTCATGAGTAAAATTGGCATTATATTATATAGAGAGAGATCTATAGATCTAGCAGCATGATAATCCTTTCAAAAGCCTTTTTAATGGGCTTTGGCTTGGACTGGTAGTGAAAATATTAACCTAGTTGCCTTGGAAGTCACAAGGCTGCTCAAACATCTTCTTGACTGCTCCTTAGAGAAGAAAATCCTAAAAGTTACTTGTCTGATCTACTTCAGCCCTAAAAGTAGGAGTAGGGGAGATTAACAATTAACCCATATAAATTCAATCATGGGGCAGACATGATCTCAAAAATCATGGGGCATTCCTCTTTTTTTCCCTTTCCCTTTTTAAAAGATATGAAACAGCCAACCCCAGCCAGGATAATTGTTCCAGAGAATTGGGAGGGTTGAAGTCCAGACATCTGGAGGACATCTGGGTTGGGTGCCAAAAATCATCCAGAGCTCTCAGAAATGTCTGCTCTCCCCCACCCAGCTCTTTTCCTTGTTTCAAAATTTGAAGGTTCCCAATTGTCTCAAATTATGACCTATTGTGATGCAGCGAATATTGGCATAATATAACCACCAAGGGTGTCCACAGGAAAGGTTCAGAACGGTCCAGAGGGCAGCTGTGACTCCATGTCAAAAAGGGTGGGATTCCACCTTGACGTATTTGCCCCCCAACTCCCGTGCTGACACCCGCGTTAACGAAACACTTAAAGTGTTAAGGAGGCAAATATAGCACTTTCATTATTTAAAACTCCTTCTTTAGAGGAAAAAAATCCACTTTGATTTATTGTATCTTTCCTTTTTTGTTGTCGTTGACATGGAAAAGAGGCAAATTGGGATGGAAGTAGAAACCACTTCCTGCTTTTTCTCATATTACACTTGGGGTTAAAAAATGATCTTCTGATTCAACATCACAACTACATTCAACTGCTGTGGAAAATTCTTCAGTACATGGGAAAATCCAAGCTTTGCATTGACTCTTTCATTCTGCTTCTTGGTTCAATAGCAGCTTCCCTTCTCTGGTTAGGATTTGATTTATTTAACTCTAGGATCCTGAAATAATTTATACCATATGCACAGACTTGCATTTCAACTATTCCAGGCACCATACCCATATCACATATGCTTACAATCCCCAGGTTCACTGATATATGTAACTTTCCCATAGAAGAGAATATCTGTAGCTCAGGGTTGAACAGTTGGGTTCTTGGGGTTTGCTGAGCTTGGTTGTTTTCTTGCAGACGTTTCATTACCAGTCTAAGTAACAACATCAGTGCAAGGGGGAGTGAGCTGTTTATATGTATGTTTGCTGACTGTTTATATGTTCATTTAAAATTCTATGCCCAATTTAAGGTGAATCTGCCATAGCTTATTTGGAAAAAAGGGTTGACTGGATTTTCAAGCCAGCAAACATATGAATTAAAGTTGAATAAGGCATTAATAAAGCTGGGTTCACATTTTGTCTTGCCAGGAGACCTGAAAAGTGTAGTTCAATCTTTCTTAATTGGGAGGGGGGATGATCCTGAACAAAGACTGTTCTTCACCTTCTCCAAACTAGAATACCCAGAATACCTTTAAAATGACATGACATACATCGCCCATCCTGCCTTTTACATTCTCAGCTAAAACCCATCTTGAGTGGGAGATTTGGGAGTGGCAGACCCACCCCATTTGCAGCGCACCCGGTAGGGGAACTTGTACTTGACAGAATCAGAGAGAATCAGAATCAGAGAGACCTTGAACTTCTTTCCAGCTCATCTGACAGATTTTGTAGAAGCCAGTGCAACAAAACAAGCGATTCTGGCTATCGCACACCCAGGCTATCTTCGCACAGTATCCTTAATTGGTTATTTCACTCACTACTCAAATAACTAATTGAGCTAGCTTGGCGTCAGGGGTCTCCTCAGGGACGGTCAAACATGTCAAGATGGTAACCACAACTGAGCAAACGAAGTTCTGCCTGGTTTTTACGAGCATTGCTTTGATTGCCCTGTCGTGGCCGCCATTTTGTTTGACGCTGTGGACACCCTGGTGACACAGTACGGTAAGATACAAACCAACTAATCAAGATTAACACTAACATGAACCAACTGACCAGGCTTAGCATATGATATGAATGAGGTCACTGGGCTGACCTAGTTCAACATTTGTGTGAAGACAGCCGGTACATGAATAGGTGGATTACATGTCTTGTACAACTTGTAACACAAAGGGAGCCCGTGTGTCTCTGTTTTTTGCTGGCTCTTTGATTCCACTTAATGAATTTGGCTTTGAGGCCTGCATTCCAAAAATGTCAACAGTCCAGGAATCCTGGTGGGTCTCACATAAGCCAGAACACTGACATTAGGAGCTATGCTTCCTCTTCATTTGCATCAGCATACAGGGCTGTCATGTTTCCGTCCTTCCAGCGTACCATCACCTCTCCCGCGTTTGGTGCTTTTGTAAGCAAATCTTCTCCAGCAGGATCCAAATTCTCTTTGTTTAACAGCACAAATGCTTGCTTCGTTTCGGCCTCGTTGGGCAGGCTGACTTCGTAGCCCTGTTTTTGTAGGGGCTTCTTATGGTTTCTGTGGAGAAGGGAAAAAGTAATGTGAATTGGCCACAGCAACTTTTCTCCAAGGGATGCCCTCTAGATATGATGGCTGTCAGTGAGGGAGACTGAAGAGCCACCCAAAATAAGCATGCAAACTCATGAGCCCTGCTTAGGAACAGTTTGGAAGCCAGGATGGAATTACCCAGGGCTTACGTAAGCTCTTGTAATCACACTACAAATATAATATTGCTTTGTTCTGTCCAATCTCCACTAGAAGAAGAGTTGTGTTTTTGCACCTTCAAGTCAGTTTTTGATTCCTGGCAACTGCTTGGACGTGTCCCTGCAGTTTTCTTGGCAAGATTTCAGACGTGGTTTGCCCTTGCCTCCTTCCTCGGGCAGAGAGAGAGGGACTGGCCCAAGGTTATCCAGCTGGCTTTGTGCCTTACACTGGACTAGAACTCGCAGTCTCCCAGTTTCTAGCCTGGTGCCTTAACCACCGCACCAAACTGGCTCAAAAGAACTTGTGCATGTTGAATATTCTCATCTCCATGAACTTTGTCTGGATTCCTCTTAAACAACAACATTTAATGCTTCCTGGGGAGAGAGTGGTTTCAAGTATAACTCTACAGTGAAGATAAGCAGAGTGGGCCAGGTTAGTGCAACTTACTTAAGTAGGTTATTAAGAGAACGTGCAGCTCTATTTGTACAACATGCAAAGTTTTCTTAGTTTTAAGCATGGTGGGATTTGCACCTTTGTCTGTTCCACCAGCTTAGGTTTCATTAGGTTGCAGTTCAATACATTGTGCAAATTCAGAAAGTGGATTTGTCTGGCCACTAAGGAATCCTATATTCAAAGGTTGAGGGATATGTTTGGTACCAGCCAAGACCCAGCCTTACCACCCAGAAATCTGACTTGTCCATACCTGTTTGCCTTTATATTAGCTCCCAAGAGGACTACGCCAATGAGCAGAACGAGAAATGAAAGGCCCAGGATGCAGTAATTCCACGCGGATGCTGAAAGAGAAAATAATAAGAAATTCATTTTGATGGGTTAATATCCTGGCTTATTGTCCAGGTGCTCAAGGCAATTTATATAGCGCTCCCATCTCCAATTTTGCACCCCTCCACCATCAGGGAGGTACCTTGGTAGGGCATCTGTGGAAGGGAAAGGGAGACTCAAAAAAGTCAAGATGGCAGCTGTAATCACAACCGTCGTGCCTTCCATTCTGGGGTGGAGCTTCAATTGCATATCTGCAGCCACCATGTTGACTTTTTTGACTTGCCCCTTGTAGAAGAACACAGAGATAAAGTTTGCAAAGGAATGCAAGAACTGTGAGCAGATAAGAGACACTCAATGACATTTCAGCCCTGGGAAAGGAGGGAGTGCAAGAAGGAGATTCAGAAGAAGACCACCTTGATTCTGCTTGGTGTAAGAGGGGGCAGAGGGAAACTCTATCAGGCTTTCAAGATTCTGTTAGTATACTCTACGACAATAAAGTAAAATTCCTGGATTCCTTCTGGTGTCTCTTTTCTGACCTGGCCTCCCTTGAAGAACTGACACCCTCTGGATATCCCTGTAGGTTCATCCAAGTGAGAGAGAGTACGTGTCCAAAGCACCCTGTGGGCTACCATGGTGGAGGGGAGATTTGGATCTGGGTCTCCTAGTTCAACACTTCAATTATTTCACTGATTGGCTCTCACTGCAGTAACAGGTTAATTATTCCATGAGGTTTTATACAGGCAGAACTTGGCTGCAAAAATCCTGATGGCCCTAGCAGCAGTCAAGAATTAATTTCTTGAATTGGTTTGCAGCCATCTGGTAGCGTACAACATTTGATAACCCTGGAAGATGACACCCCTTAACTGCTTGACCCAGAGAAATTGCAGGATATGCTTGTTAGATATCTGCCTATAAAGAAACTCTGCGAGCCAACAAGAGGAAACAATTACTCTGTAAGAACTTCCTCATCAGCCCCATAATATTAGTGGCGGTTTTGTAGGCTCATAACTTATATTAGAGAATGATTAGATTCATACCACATGCTAAGCTGTAATATGAATTCTTTGCTTTAGGATTAGCCCTAATGTTAAAATTAACATTAACTGCAATTTTAATTTTAAAATTTAAATTAAATTAAAATTAGCCCTGAAGTGTAAAATCACTTAATGTGGCTTAATTTTATGTGAGATTCAGGCTGACGTGGCTTTTTCCAAAACCAAGGATTTAAGAAATCCTGAGTCAGTATTAAATGTGAACATAGTTGCAACTTAATTTATAGTGCTTTCCAGCTAAAATAAGAGATTGCCTTTTGATTTGCACGTGGTGCTAAGTCACAGCTCATTAAACCGTTTTTTTAATCAACCACAAATGGCTATGTTTGTGCAACAGGCCCAGCTATTAAGATTTAACAAACCACCGCAGCAGCATTTCCACAGTGTGTTAAGTCAAAACTGAGCTGACAACTGAGACAGCACATTTCACCTTCACGTGCTTAAATGTTTTGTGTGAATGCAGGAACATTGTGGTACTATGTGTGAATCCAGCCAGTGGAATAAGCCCGCAGCCTGAGTAGATGGTTGCTGCAAGTTCCTTCATTTCATGCCTTCTTTAAGCATGCTCCCCACAACCCTAATAGATTCCCACAACCCAACAGATCCCACCCCAGATCCAAAGCCTGAGCTAACAGGACTCAGCCTAATTCAAGCAACTTCTCCAGTTAAAGCCTTGCAAGGACTTACGGTCTTCTCTTCGGTAAAACCACAGCGCCTCCTGCAGCACCTCTACAGGCACGGTGTCTTCTGAAGGATTGGTGAGGCCTTCCGAGTCCTTCTGGGGCTGTGAGCTGATCACAGCCAGGACACCCAGGTCTGTGTTCAATGCTAGGTTAGAAACCAGGACATAGTACATGTCAATGGGGCTTCTATGGACTCACACACCATGCCAGTCTAGGCTAAAATGGGGTGGGGCTTTTTGTGGATCATCAGGATGGGGGAACCCAGCTGTTACCTTTGCAGGTTGTTCCAAACAAGCTATCTCTTTAAGATATCATATATTTTATTTATTTGAACATGCATGTTGTATGAACACCCAGACTTAGCATCTTGTGGGAATCTGGCATACTAAAGTATGAGTGATCTGCTTTTGAGCTCTGCATTCTCTTCTTCATGAAACTCTCTCACTAGATAAGTGCTTCATTATTCTCTATTATTTATGACGTTCCTGCACTAACTTTTAATAGCTCTGTAAACACTGAGCAACCTTGGCCAACAGAACAGCTGGGAAGCACCTCCCCGAAAGCTTTTGTTGTAGGTGAAAGAAGAGAACAATGGCTTCAGAGAAGGTGTAGAACTTGAAAAGAAGGGGAGTGCCCTTGCATATGATCCCACAGGTCTGGAGGCCTTGGACGGTGGCTGAGATTCAGCCAAGGAGCCAGAAAAGTCCCATCTCTGTCATGCTGTTCTATAGACTGCTGAATGGACAGGCTACCAAAATGAGAACATAAGAAGCTTTGTGGGGAGAGCGGGAACAGGGGAGGGAAGAGAAAGGTGGGTGTGGAAGAATATGGAGATAGCTTTGAAGAAGGTATGCAACAGCCATTACATAAACATCAGCTTGGCCCAGGAAGGGAAGAGAAGGTGAAAAAGAAACTCAAGATTGCCTCGCCTTGACTCTCCTTGGTATAAAAGGAAGGGAGAGTCAGGCCAGGCTTCCAAGGTTCTTTGAATATACCTGCAAGATTAAAGAAGAGTTCCAGTAGTCCTTGTGGTGTCTGTTACCTGACCTGGCCTACCTCAAAGAACTGACAGTGGGTTTAGCTTTTTCTTCTTGTTGTCAGTTTTCTTAATACAGTACTGTTAAGGTTTATTGTAGACTATAGTTTTTAAGTGTTTTTTCTTGGTGAGAAATGGCACCATGAATGCTTGGGAAGGGTCCAAGGATTGCAAAGTAAGGGCTTGGGGACCACAGGATGTCCTCCCCTGCCCCCCACCCAACAAGCTGCAGGCAGACAAGTTGTGGTCATCATCTCATTCAATTAATGGGTGGATGTCACCCAGTTCATTGAGCGTTAATACCCACATTACCTAAAGCAAGGGTTTGCACCAGCAGAAGCCAAATGGCACTTGTGGTGAGGAAGAGACTGTGCAAGAATTTGCATGCTTTCATCTCTTTTCTCCTAGAACACACTAACAAGCACAACTCCACAAATGCTGTGTTATTCTCTTACGGTGGGGGGGGGGGTATCCATTTGCTCTTGAAATCTATTCCTGTTTAGTCATAGCATGAAATATGCATTCCAGACTAAATAATAACTCCAGTTGCTAGAAAACAAGAGGGCAAGCTGACCTCTTTTTCAAAGAAAAGGGGAACAATGAATTTAAAAGAAAAAAGACAGAAAAATAACTTGGCAGAGAAGTATACATTTAGTCCAATTGTAATTAATTTTGGAACCAGTTTAGTCCCTGACTCTTTGACTGGTGAGAGAACCGAAAACAAACCAAAAAGAAGTGTGATGGACTTCTGCATTTACATAACACATTTCATTCATTTCCTTAACTAATCCATTCACTGGGTTTGCAAATACAGCAAATCGTGCACTAGCTTAAAGGGCTAGGTTTGTACAACAGGATAAGACACAAGAAAGCTAACCAAGATTTAAACGAGCCAAGCTTAGTCTGTTGTGCTGTGACCCTTTCACTGACTTGGACAAATGTGTCATGTGAACAGGTTTGGGGCTGTTTTCTATAACCATTTTCTCTATTTCAGGATTTATGTTGTGATGCTAAAATACTTCTCTCTCCAGTTTGTAATGGTTGCATTAAAGAGTGAAAATATGCACAAAATAGGGTGGCATTAATAAAGGTTCTCCTCTCTGACCAAGTTTCTAACAATCTCAGATAAAAATAAAGCAAAACCCATTCATGTTCCAGGGCGCAAACGTTCTGAAGTGGTCCTTATCTGCTGCACCATTATAAGACACTGAAGATGCCTGGGACTTTATACAAACTTCTTGCCTATCCTTATCTGGAGACCATATTCTGTGTCCATAGTGCATTTTCTGGGCAAATCTATATTTGTTTTTGTAATAGTTATAACTTTCCGCAAATGATCTTGGGGATCATGTTGGCCTTCGGTACCAAGTACTTTTTTTGCTGGAGATTTGTGAAACTCTAGCTAACTCTAATCAAACTAACACTGTGGTTATAGTCCTTCAGGAAGCCCTGGGTGTGAAGTGCTGAGTTAGATATACAGCAAAGTTGAAAAATTTTATGGCATGGTATATGAGTTGTATTCCCCGTGGTTGGAGAACCTCAAGGTCATGAGATGTCAGATCTCACAACATTTTCAACATTGACCATTGAACTGTAGGAAATGAAAGCCAACCATTTTTGAAGAGCGAAGAATTTCAGACCCTGACTCATTGAGGACTCATTGATAGGAACCCTGCAGGAGCCACACCCTGGGAATGGATGGATCATAGCTCATGTGGAGCTAGAGAGAAATTGGGAGGAGATCTCAAAGCAAGCTGAGTTTGGGTCAAGGGTGAGGTCTACATGCAGCTCTTCAGCCACAGATAATGCATTTGTGGTATGCAGGGAGGTAAGTAATAGTGCAATGACTGCAGCATTTCCTTCTACAATCTCAAAATGAAACACATCAACCTTGTACCTCAATGAGACTGACACAGGAGAACTCATCTGATCTCCACCACAATGCCTCAACACACTTCTCTTTACAATTATTGATTTATTGATCAGTTTATTGGATGACCGCACTTTTTTACAATACCCAACAGCCGAAGCTGGAGAGTGAAAAGTAGAAAAGTAGAAAGTATTCCTGCAAGGGAGCATTTGCTGTTCCATACTTTTGCTGTCACTATATGTAGAGAGTCACCTTGAAGCAAATATTCAGAAACCATTAAGTGAACAAAGAGGACAGGAGCATTCCTTAAGTCCTGGGAAGGGAGATAGTATTAAAAAGAGACTTAGCCTGGCTCTTCCCTGGCTCCCTGGGGTGGAAGAGGGAAGGGAGGAGAAGCACAACCAGATTTGCAAGATGCTGTTGCTATCTCAATAAAGTAGAGTTCTGCTCTTCATGTGGAGTTGGTTTCCTGATCGGGTCTGCCTCGTAGGATTGACACTAATACAATGCAGTGAGCTTACCATATACCAGGAAAGATAAGGTTGTCCAAAATATCGCCATGATGGTTTGAAGCACCCTTCAAGGGGAAGTTCTTCTTTCCAAGGATCCTCAGATGGAAGCTAGGGAAAGAGAGAAACCAAGATGCTCAGTCCCGATGTTGGTCAGCCTTGCAATAGGCCAGTGGTTCTTGCCTTAATGACCCCTTTTCTAGGTGTTAAATAATGCCATTACCCCTACAAAAATTTTTAAAAAACCAGACTCTGTTTTTACACAAGCTTCTCCAAAGTGGCAACCCCAAACTGGATCCTCAACTCACAAACAAGCAATTACAAATTGCTCCATTGCCCTCCGTTGCCCTCCATGCCCAAATTCCCCCCACGAGGGCAATGACCCCAGTTTAAGAACTACTTCAATGGACTGTCTGTATTGCGGAAAACCCACAAGGTTTGCACCAGGTCAGTGAAAAACACAGCGGCTGTATTCCTACACCAAATTAAGTACAGTATAATTAGGGTTAATCTTAGTTACATTTGGGGAGCTTAATACAGTGTATGAACCCAGTCTTATTAATTGATTGGCTGGTGGGTTGGTTGGATTGACTGATTTTATAAAAGGCCAAAGACGAGAGAGAGAGAGAGAGAGAACATACCCAAGAGAGACAGTTAAGAGAGATTCCTTTGTAAAAATTACAATTTTAATAGCATAATTTTATTTTTTTAATGTTTTAAATTTATTTATTTATCGTATTTATATAGCCGCCCATCTCACATAAAAGTGACTCTTAATAACGTAAGGTACATGATGAAATAAAATAATATGAAAGAGACCCAGTGGCGCTCCTGTGAAGGGTCAAACAGGTCGGTCTGATGCAAACAGCGTTGTATTGCTGCAACACAAACCCCACCCCTTTTGTACATGCATGACAAGATGTCATATGCATGCCCCCGAAGGGGCGGAACTTGCAGTGCAATGCTGCATGTGTTGTGTTGTGTTGTGTTGTGTTGTGTTGAAAGCAGCAGGAGCCTGCAGACCCCTACGCCTGGGTCAAATGCCAACCCAGAGCTTCCTGATGGTGGTTGAAATAGGGTGCAATTCAGCTACTTTTTTATTTTATTTTATTTTTCCTTTTTGTTATAGTGTTATAAATCTTGATACATTGCATTGTTTCAATACAGTGATGTTTATATGGTACGATTAGAGATGATTAATTTTCTATTATTTAGATAGACTGAAAATAGAGAAAGGACAGAAAAAATTCTTATCAATATTAATGACAATTTAGGATGTCCATGTTACACGCATAAGCAATTCTGCTAGCTTTGAGGAGAGATTAGGGGCGTGATCGTCTAAGAGAACGCATCATCTCTCCTTTTCAGGCAGACCTAAACACTCAAGCTAGAATCCACAAGCCACAGTTTCATCTGGGCACAAGAGTGGGACACCCACAGGAGTGTCAAAAAACTCAAGATGGTGGCAATGGCAGTGCTATCAAAGCCCTGCCCCTTTTGAATGTGTGTCGGGTGTAAAAATTAGGTGGGGCTTCAATCATACAGCCAGAGCCTCCATCTTGAGTTTTTTGACCCCCCTGTGGCCACTCTTGGCTGTGTAAGTCCAACCCTGATCATTAGTGGCTTATAACAGCACGCGGTGCAATTCCAACCAACTGTGGTTTATTTGACCTGAACCAAGCGATCAATGGACTTTCAGACAGGGCTGATGGTTCCCTGCCTAGTAATCAGAGGATACCACAATGGAAAGCTTGCCAAAGCAAGACATTCTCCTTTTTGGGGTATTTTCAGAAAATAGGGCAAGAAGAATTTTTAGAGAAAGGGCTAAGTTACTGTGTTAAAAGGCTAGGAAAGGGATATGGAATTGGTTTATTTGATTAAGGTTAAAACATATACTGTATGTCAGTGTTGTCCAAACTTGGCCACTTTAAGATGAGTAGACTTCAACTCCCAGAATTCCCCAGCCCAGATGGGATATGGGAAGAAGAGCTTTTTTGTTGCAATATCAGAGAAGGTGATAAATGACTGAAGTTGTACTTGCCTTGACGGAGGGGGAAGTCCTTTCTTTATATAACGTTTTTCTTATTATTTTTTTCCTTCTTCTCTGGACTTTTTATTTTTTTACTTTTTATATTCTTCTTAGTTTGTATTAGTTTCTTATCTTTGTATTTGCAAACATCAATAAGAATTATTATTATATATTTAAAAAACAGAAAATAAGGCAAGAAGCATTGCATCGCAGCAAATGCCACGGCCCAAATGTTTGGATTCGCAGGAGGTCCACCTCCCACCTTCTGTTCTCCCGTCTTAAGCACAGGCAGGACTGGACACAGAACCCAAATCCACAAATCACAAAAAATGGTGAGCTGAAACATTGGTGAAGCACAGATATTTATTTCCTTTTCTTTGGGGTTCTTTGTATGTGGGTTCTTTGAAGGGGTGGGGTCATGCAATCCCTGGCAGGTCCGCCCTGATTGGCTGGCACCTCTGTGCGCTCAGCGACTGGATCAGCCCTGATTGGTGGGCAGTGTCCTCCATGCCCTGACCTCACAGCATCCTGAAATAGCCTGAAATTGTTAGAATCTTGATTGGGCTTTCAATTAGAATTAGAAGAGCTTGGAGAGAGAAGGGCTGGGGGTGTGGCAGGCCCTGAGCGTGAGGAGTCAGCACTGGCAGCAGCTGGTGGTTAAATATTTAACCAGTCAAAATCCCAGGACTGTCTTTGTGCTCTGCGTGCAAAAAACCTTCCCATGGGTCCTTTTATACCAGAGGTTTCTGAATATAACTCTGAGCCCTCCTCTCCTTATGGCACTGCTGGCTCAGGTGCATGGGAACTGGAGTCCGATAACAACAGGCAAGCTACAAGCCCCACACCCATGATTTGTGAAATCGCTTTTTTGGAGAGAGAACAGAACGTTTTAAAGTTTTGTCATTCTTCCACCCAGTTAACCAACTGCACTGACTAGATGGACATGTTGCATTTAGCCCAAACCCAAACCAATCACAGGATGGGTTAGCAGAAGGGGTGAGCCAAACTCCTCTCTGTGTGGCTCTTATCACTGAAACTGTTTATCTACCCACCAAATTAGAAAATGGGTCATGGAGGAGGAGAAGGGGAAGGAAGGAGAAGGAGAAGGAGAAGGAGAAGGAGAAGGAGAAGGAGAAGGAGAAGGAGAAGGAGAAGGAGAAGGAGAAGGAGAAGGAGAAGGAGAAGGAGAAGGGGAAGGGGAAGAAGAAAGAGGAGGAGAAAGAGGAGGAGAAGATGAATGGGGAAGGAGGAGGAAGAGGAGGAGGGAAGGGGGAAATGGAAGGAGAAAGAAAAAAGGGAGGAGGAGGAGAAGGAGGAAGGAGAAGGAGAAAAGGAGGAGGGGAGGATGAGAAAGGAGAAATGTGAAGGAGAAGGAGATAGACAAGGAAGGTAGGGTGAAGGAGAGTTGTTGAAGTTGTTTTTCTGGCAATTGCTTTAGGAGCAATTCTTTCTGCAGTCCAAAATGACCCAGCCCTCTTTGCCTGCTCTGAGTGAGAATTCTGCCTGGGGTGCCTTTCAAGGATACTCCCCCCATCACTGCCTATGGCACGAAGCCATAGATCCTCTCGGTTAGTGACCTCTGTAATCACTTTCTTTCTTGCTACATTCCTCGACTTTACCTTCTTTACAACTCAAAGTTCAGATTGCATGACTAAAAGATTGCCCCTTGGACAAAAACCAGAACTGGAAGAGATGCATGATGTTCTCTCTCTTTTCCTCTCTTTTTGTAAGTGTAGCCCTAATTTATACCTTTCTTTATTCATTACATGTTTTATACCACTGTCATCTGCAAGGATGATCTTCAGAATACGTTTTACCCAGAGTATGAACCCCTGTGGCCTGCCCCTGCAGCCCATAAGAGTTCATATCCAGAGTAAAAATAAAAAAAAAGTCACTAAAAAAGTTGTGTTCACACAACACAGTCGGGTAAGAGCTGAAGTGGCTGGTATACAATATGCTAAGCTTGGTTTCTGTTCATTTTGGTGGGGGGTTTCCCTGGCTCAGCGTGTGAGGCAGACCGTGCAGTTGGTTTACTTCTGATTCAGTCTCTTGCACAAACCTAAAACACCAACTATCAGGCAGGGTTTGTTGTATGAACGCACCCAAATGTTATTACGCTTCACCTGCCCTGCTTCCTTCCTCCGTTTTCCTGATGGGCAAATTCACTTCCACTTCTGATCCTGCCCTGGGGGTTCTTCTGGCAGAACTCATGCTCTCAATGTCTTCCTTTCCTTAGTGGATTTTTTGGATGGAATGGGAACACACACACACACACACACACACACACACACACACATACACCAAAAAACAGAAGAAGCGGGACATCACACAAATATTATAAATGGAAGGCAGTGCTTTATAAAGACATTATCCCCCTTAAAAAATCTGAAGCAGGTGAACTGGGCATTACTGCCTACCTGGTCTTCTTTCAATAAGCTACTGTTTTCTTTAATTGATGCCTATTATTATATTTGTGCCTATTCCTCCTCTAAGGAGTACATACAGTCCATGCACTGAAGCACACAAGCAAACGCAGGTGTACACGCCAGGGATTCATCCTAATCTGAGCTGAGACAGATTCCACCAAGGTTCCAGATCCTTAGACCCAAGTGAAAGAGCAGAAGATCGCGGTGTTTCCAAGCACAAGCAGTGAGCCCAAGGGCTCTTCTCAGCACCCTTCACACATCTGGCACCAAAGTTACACTCCCCTCTCCCTGGTTTAAAATCCAGCCATTGGCCCCATGGACTTTTTTAGCTTCATTTTGCTCTCCTTGTCCTTAAGAAGCCACTCACCAAAAGATCAGCTGCTTGGTCCAGATGAATGGAAGACAGCAAGATGTTATCCTCAGCGCTGGAAAACGGGGTCCCCTTGAAGCATTCAGAGCATCTGGCAGGTGGGGAGAACTACAGCATTCATACCTCAGATGCTGTCACTCGTATGATGGAGTCATTCATTGCCCTCCCTTGCGGCTCAGAGAAGTTGTAACCCAGGGGAAAGGCATTTTCAGTCTCTGCACGCGTCACACCCACGCAGCTTCCAGCCAAAGGTGAGTGAACTCTCCCCCAATCAGAGCCTCTTGGCAGCTCGTCAAAAGAGGGACGCGTGATTCTGCCTCGGCCCAGAGAATGCCGCACACAGGAAGGCCCATTCCTCTTCCGAAAATTTTTCTTTAGTTAACATTAATGCCATTATTACCAATGACATTTTCCCATGGTCACAAAATGAAAATACTGTATACCACCAATTCACAACCAGACACATAGCCTTCCTTGTGAGACTGTCTTTTATTTCAACTCCTCTTTTAAGATGCTCCAGAACAAGAGACTAGATTTTATTTGAAAAAACTATCTCCATTTTTTAGATACATGGTCTCTCTCTCTCTCTCTCCCTCTCTCCCCATCTCTATCTATTTATCTATAATCTCTCTCTCTATCTCTCTCTCTATCTCTATCCATCTATCTCGATCTATCTATTTGTATATCATCTCTATCACTCTATCTCCATCCATCCATCCATCCATCCATCCATCCATCCATCCATCCAGTGTTATCCATGGAGTGTGTGTGTGTGTGTGTGTGTGTCAAACTAATCGGTTTGATAAAA